AGACGAGAAGAAGGGGTGTCAGAAAGACAGTGAAGTAAAAAAAAAAATGCGATACTGCCGTCGCCCTGTTTGAAAAATTGCAATTAAGATTATTGAATTACTGAACTGAGCAGACAGCTTGAAGTTTTGAACTTAGCAGACGACCTCGCACTTCTTCCCTCAGTGTTTTACGCAAATGGAAAATTTAAAAAAGCAAAGACAAACAAAGCTCGGACGGAGAGCTGGTGAACAGTTTTTGGGTTAAACCCTGCACAGAGATTAAATTAAATTAAATAGCATAACATGGAAAAAATATTTACGTGACCACTAAGAGCACTGAAACTCCTGCAAGTAGAACTCGGTTGTGCGTTTGTCAACGTTGCACACCTCAAGCCGCGACCTGCTCCAGTATTGGAAAGTATTGGGAAAGAAAGGATATGTTGGGCAGTTGCTGTTAACGGATCTTCATGTGGAGGGAAAAAGTATTCATAACTGATCATTATTTTCCCTTGGTATCGAAATTTAAAATTCTGGAAGTTTAAAGTGTCAACGGAATTGGAAGTGTCGTTAAAATGGGCACGGGGTGTTGTCAATATGGGCACGGGGTGTTGTCAATATGGGCACGGGGTGTCGTCAATATGGGCACGGGGTGTCGTCAATATGGGCACGGGGTGTCGTCAATATGGGCACGGGGTGTCGTCAATATGGGCACGGGATGTCGTCAATATGGGCACGGGGTGTCGTCAATATGGGCACGGGGTGTCGTCAATATGGGCACGGGGTGTCGTCAATATGGGCACGGGGTGTCGTCAATATGGGCACGGGGTGTCGTCAATATGGGCACGGGGTATAGCCAACTGTGAATAACTTCATCGACCATCGATAGACCCATTTAAAATAACTGCCCATCACATAATATTCCTTTCAAAATCATTCATATTAACTTCGCTTTTGTTCGTGTCTGGCTGGGTGATGGACTGGCAAAATCTTTGGACGGTTAATTGACCCACTTCCCGTCAACGTATCGAGCTGAAACTTGGCACGTAACCTCATTGCCGATGACAAAACATTCTTTCAAATTTTCAGCCCCTCCCCAAACCCCCCAAAAATCACACTTTTTTAAAAGGGAAGATGAGGGAAATATGTTGTTAATGGTTTTACGAAATTAATTACCGGATCAGTGCGCTAAATGAGGAATTTTTTAATTGTATTATTTTTTTTTTTTAGATATCGCAATTTCTTTTGTTTTTCTGCAATCATTGGTGAAATAAATCTGCAATTTACAAGCAGGTGTGTCATTAGAATATTAATATAGTTCAGGGGCTTATAAAGTGGGTTACTTGAATGCATGTTTTGACACATTTTTTAGCTCCCCCCCCCTCCACACCCCCATTTTTCCCGATGGTTCGCTGTTACATTTTAGAAAGTATTTTTTAAAGAAAAACTTTGTTTTTAGGGATTGTTTAACTCCCGAGAACCCTTGGAGGCCGGAGCCACGATTTCATACATTATTTAACCTGAGCGTGTCCCTGGCAGTGGTGTACAACACTGGGCTCACGAAAGTTTCAAATTGTACCCTTGTTTTATAATACACTATTAAGCCTTTTACTATCAAGTATAAAGGATTCTTCAGTGGGGTCGCACCCATAAACACATGGGTTGTTACGATGAGCTACGATGGGAGACAATTGAGAACAGAGCTGATACGCCAATTTTGCTGTTCAGGGTGACAAAAGGTCAAAGGTCGTACCATGGTCGACATGGAACTTATCATCATTGAAGTGGACAAGAGGGGGGGGGGGGGGGGGGGGGGGGCAGGAGGCCTTAAGTACAGTCGACATCGTTGTAACGTGCTTGCTCCAGGTGCTATGTGTAATGTCAACCACACGAACGAAGTGGGGAGGGGGGAGTATGTATAAATAAAAGTAAACACACACACACACAAATTACAAATGAACTCAATTGTTGTAAAGAGACATATCTCTAATACCAAATAAACAATTCAAGAAAAAATAATAAATAAACATTTTTTTTTTTAGAAAGAGGGGGGGGGGGGTTATCTTAAACTAATGTTGTATAACAAGATGGCATTATATCATAATAAAAATAATCGAGGCTTGTTTGTAAACTAAATCTTTTCAGGTTGTTGTTTTTTTTTTCAGTGATAAAGGAAGTTCCTAATTCAAAAGAAATTCAAATTGACCTAACTTTGGTAAACGTGTATATTTGGGAACAGTGGCGTAGCTAGGGTTGGTGTCACCCGATGCGATAAACTCATGGTGTTACTAACCACCACCCCCCAACCCCCCCCCTCCCCCAATGTCCCCCCCTTCCCCGACTTCCACGATGGATTTCGTCGTGTTAAAAATAAGTCCACAGTATAACAATAACAAAAACACATTAATCAAAGATCAGGTTGCACATGTGTTTAAGAACTGTAACAATGTTAAGTTAAAGTTATTTTTACATTATATTTACTTAATTAAAAATTTCCCTTGTCCGTTCTTCAAAGCTGCAAACGTGTCAATCACTTGATCTAAATCAGTCTCCTGCACACCATGGGCGCCCGCAGGTAGGGGCAAGGTAGGGCACTTGCCCCCCCCCCCTGGATTGATTGGATAAAAAATTTTTAGACAAAAATAGACAAAAAATGTATTAAAGTAAAGAGAAAATAAAGAGAAAGTAACTAAGATGATGCTCTGTCCGTTCGTTCACCATACAAATACGCTACAGTAAATTAAAACGATATTAAAACATTACCAAAAAAAATTTCAAAAAAAATTTCCCCCCCCCCCTGGAAAGTTAATCGATTTTTTTTGCCCCCCCCCCCCCACTAGAAAGTTTTCTGCGGTCGCCCATGCTTTACACTATCACTTTCAATTGATAGTAGATCAATATCAGAAAGCCTTGACTATCCCATGGTGGATCATAAATAGCTCTTGATAAGCCTTAGTTTTGGAAAGCTCCGCTCAAATGATGCCACAGACCTACATATTGTTTAAGAAACATTTGAAGGCTTAACGAGAGTATTGGAAGAGATTCTGGGAAGTCCCATTCATCCATGTAAATCAAAATATAAAATACTGACCAGTCCATGACTTTGTGAAATTCAATATTAGCTGCCTTTAGGTGTCTTTAAGCCATGGTATTTCTTTTAAAAGTTCATCCTCTGATCATCATTGAAATATGTTAATTTCGGAACGGACATCAATAACTCTTCTTCACTTGCTGATTAGTAGACTCTTGGATTGAAAAGCCCCAAATATATCCGGTACTTCCTTGATGGCTGATGATCTGATCTGGAGTTCAGAATGAAAGTGATCAATACACCCCAAGCATTCCCTTATTGTTTTCTTCTCGCAGAGAGAGCCCAGTATCTATTAATTGTTCTTCTGCCATTCTCTTCTTAAACCTTAATCTTGTCTCTACCAAAATTCCCTATTGGTCTGATTCATACAAGTGCATTTTATGTAGCATGTTTCACTAAGTGACAGCGCTTCTCGGGCAGAGACAATCCTTAGACTTCTAGATTGGTCACCACTTTGTTAAGATTAAATCCTTTAGTCTGCAGATACTGCTGTGTAGGATTAAATTCCTCAGGTAGATTAGCCCAAAGGTAAAGGTAGCAGAGATAAGTGAATTCACAGACAATATGTAAGAGACCTTTTGCTGTATGAAAATCGTGCTCACATGTAAGGGCCGGTGCTAGTGACGAATCGGCCAAAAAAATATTTGATTTCTGAATATGTCAATTTATTTAATTTCAAGAACCTTGTTTAAAAAATAAATTTGAACTAATTACTACAAGATATTAACATATTTTATAAGATATTATTTTGTTAACCCTTTAAATGAGTAAAAAAGTCATTTTTATATGTTTTTAATTTTGAACGATTCGATTCATGTACTTAGCAGATGCGTAGCGTGGGTGTTTGGCGCCCGGGGACAAGATTCGCGCCCGGGGACAAGATCCATTTTAAAGCGCCCCCTTTTCTTTTTTTCAACTCTCAAATCCATCATTTTTACCAATAATATAATATCAAAGCTCATTTTGGCGGCCCTAACTAGTTTGCGCCCGGGGACATCTGTCCCCCCTGCCCTCCCCTCGCTACGCCTCTGGTACTTAGAATCGCCCGACCACATCGCATTTGGTGTCAATGGAAACCTCTATTTCTCAGAATTAAGATAAATATAGCTTCCTGTCCCTTTCGAAAGTTAACCAACACTTTAATCAGCGTTGAATCATGGTCAAAACGTTTTTAATGACCTAGTTAAAGGGTCACCTAGTTTCTGAGGCATCAACCTTGAACATTTATAAATTATGCATTTGGATTAGATACATGTGTGGAAATTTTACGTGTGATCGGTTATCCTTTTATGAAATTCGGTTAGACCGAGCAGTGTGTGCTCTGGAAATAAGCAATTTTTCAATTTGGTGTCACCCCATGGGAGGTGTCAACCGGTGCGGTCCGCACCCCCTAACTCCTTAGCTACGCCCCTGTTTGGGAAGATAATGACAGTTAAAGTGCTTACACATTAAACCTCTTAATTCAATATGTATATTAAATGTTATTAGCCTGTTCGTGTCTTTTTAGTTTAATATCTAACCATTATTAGTTGTAGATCTATATCAATCCTGAAAATTTTCCTAATAGCTATTAGTTTTGCAGCGGTGAAGGGTATTAAGGCAAGAGGGAAAATTACAGCCTCTTTGTAGATACTCACTATATGAGCTGTTTTTTTTAACAATGTTTTAATTTTAATTTTCATTAATGTGGTTTGGCATTTCCCAATGTTCCCTAAGGCAAGTGCCTAGTTTGCATTAACCTTGTCCTGGCCCTGTTTTGAACACTCTTAACTTGAACTTATGATTACCATAGGCCCTAATGAAGAACAGCAAAATACCAATTCATTTTGTTGTTGTTGTTTATTTATTTTTTTTTTTAAAAGGGTGAATAGTAAAAATAATAATCGCTAACAATTTTCGTAGGGCTAGTTTATCCCAGTGTACAAGCATTTCCGGTGACGCAGCAACATCATCCATTCTTCACAATGGCTGCCCTCTTCGGTAACAGCTCTTCAAATCGCAATCAAAGTAAAAATTTAGTGGAGTTCCGAGCAGGAAAAATGCACATGAAAGGCAAGATGGTTCATCCTGATAAGAGAAAGGGGCTCGTTTATGTATATCAATCAGATGACTCCCTCATGCATTTCTGTTGGAAAGATCGCAATTCCGGAGCTGTTGAAGATGTACGTTCAAGTTACTAGTTACGTTGTATGATGAGATGACAGTGGCCAAAGTCGTCTGTGTATTTTGTGTCTGTTGAATGAAACTTATATTTAATTTTGGTAAATGCAAATAAGAGATGCCATGGTTTTTTCCCATGGCCGGCATCTTGTTTGACACGACCAGTTAATTCTGTCACTAACTTTGGTAAAAAATTTAAACATTTTGTAAAAATAAGCCAATGGCATAGTTCAATAGAGCTAATTTTTTACAGAATTATAACACCAAAATCATATTTTTAGCTGTTGTAGTTTAAAAGTTATGAATTTTTAAAGTAAGACTTGGTTTGTCCTTTTTTAACATGGACTGAGTCTCCACATTCTGTGACCTCATTCCGCTGATCGCGTCATGTGCAATGACCATATAGTTAATATAAATATAAAGCAACGCATTCCCTTATCACTAAAATACTGTTTAGGGTCGACTTATTTTAAACTTTCAACTTTGGCACATGAATAATTAATTAAAGCTTTCCCTGACCAATGGTTTAATAGTTTTTGCACACAGCAAACTCTTATGAATGAAACTCTGAGATAGTACTACGATATAGCCGTTATGCAAGTGGCTGTGAATGGTTGCCAATGACAACGTGTTGCACAGGGAAAATTCTGATCATTTATAATATGGACTCTACAGGGTTTTTAAAGCTCAAATTAAAACATTCCAGTTTAAATAAATGTCTTCAAAATGCATTCTGAAACATAGTGGTAATAATTAAATATTTCCTAAGTATCGGCAACTTCCGCCATTAAAAAGGAGGAGTGGCCCACACCATGTTGAAATTAGGCTGAGCCACCTTATGGTGATATGGGTCACTGGGAGAAGCGTAACGAACGTGGGACACGACCTACATCAATGAAACTTGGCACAGATATAGATCAATATCTAATGCTTATACAGATTTAATCAAAAAGGGCGTTATCTTATTATTTCACAAAAAATTTTGTATGCGAAGATGCCTTAAATATACCAAAGATTTTTAAAATAAAGGTCGATTGAAAAAAGCAAAATAGCTGGCTAGAAATGTAGGCCAAGATGTCTTCCAAATTATATGGCCGGAAACGGAACTCAAATATATGTGGAAAGAACTAATTTAATAATAAATAGACACACACATCGGAAAATTAAAAACTCTGATTTTTCGGCGCCGACGCCCTTTTCCGATACAAAAAAAAGTAGTAGTCTCCCTTGTTTCATCGAAGTATCTACACTAAACCTAACTAAATGTATCCTTAAGCCTTAAACAGAACCAGAACCCTAAAATGCCTAAATTTCTAAATGATGTATTTGTTGGTACCTAAGAAAAAAAATAATAATAATTATTTTGATAATAGTTATTTATATCAAATTTCGGCAATAATTATTAGGCCTAGGCTATTCAAAACTTAAGTTAGTTAAGACAAAACCTATTGATTGGGTCTGAGAGTTTGCTATTTAAAAGTATTTACATGGTAAAAGTAGGCTAAGTTAACTAAGTAGCTTCATAGAATTCTTAAAAACTAGGTTCATCCATTCTGATAGGGCAAAGACCCTACTGAACTGAAACTCAATAAGTCTAATAAAGCTACCTGGAAAAATAAAATCCATAAGTTAGAATTAGAAGTTTCGGTAAATGTATAGTGGCATGGGTTTGTCAAGAGTTGTCTCGCGCACTAAGTGCAGTGACGTCACTGTGGGTAATCCCAACACTGGTCTTCAGGTGACAGGACCAACAGTTATTGGACCTGAACGATGTGTAAGATAATTTTCCTGCTCTTCAATGAACATTATGCACATCATAAACTAAATCTAACCATTGATACAGTTAATTTAAAATATATGAAAATGTCCCAAAGTTTTTATTTTAATTCAACTTACAAGGTTCAAAAGAAATTTTAAAAAAGAAACTCATCCTTTGCTGATACCCCAAGATGAACACCAGCAAAAAAGACACACACAATTTTAAAAGTGATGTCTTTTGTTTGGTTGAAGATTCCTCCCCCCTACTTTCTATACAAAAATTAGAAATAAAAGAATTTCTAGAGGAAAAAAAAACTTTCATCAATTAAATACGGAGCTAAAAATCAAAACATTTTGAAATATGGAATTATGGCCAGGTGTTGACCTGGGGAACCTGCAGGACCTATAATAATAGCTTAGCTTTGTGCTATTTATAAAGAAGATGAACTGTAAGCTTTTTCCATGTAGAAACCATTATGAGAATTATATTAGGCCAATATACCGGCAAATATAATTTCACTACAATTTAATGGGTTTGATTCAGTAACTCCATCTTTTCTCAATTAAACTTTTTTTTTTTTTTATATTTTATAGCGGATTTTAAAAAAAATCCTGGTATTTTTCCAGTTAAAAAAAACAAATTGAATTATCATTTTGCAAATTATTAATTTTAAAAAATATTCAATTATTAAGTTTCAAAAATTCAAGAAATATGTAGAAACCATTATGAGAATTATATTAGGCCAATATACCGGCAAATATAATTTCACTACAATTTAATGGGTTTGATTCAGTAACTCCATCTTTTCTCAATTAAACTTTTTTTTTTCTTTTATATATTATAGCGGATTTTAAAAAAAATCCTGGTATTTTTCCAGTTAAAAAAAACAAATTGAATTATCATTTTGCAAATTATTAATTTTAGAAAATATTCAATTATTAAGCTTCAAAACTTCAAGAAAAATATATGGATCAAGTGCTAAAATTGTATAATCATGTTTGTTTGGCTTAAGGGAACATTCAGAGTATTTCAAACAAATAAATTAGATAGGCTAAGGATTTTTTTTCCACAAAATATCCACACAAAAAAAAAGGGTTGCATTTAAGTGTAATTTGTTTGTTTGACATGCAGGATCTGATCATATTTCCTGATGATATAGAGTTTAAAAATGTGAGTCAGTGCACTACTGGCAGAGTTTATGTCCTCAAATTCAAGTCATCATCAAGGAAATTCTTTTTTTGGCTTCAGGTAGGAACAATTTCTAAAGTCAGATTTATTCATGTCATGTAAACATTGTTGCCACTTGGAGATGTTCAAGTTAATTAACAAAGCCTAAAATATATATTTGTGCCAGAAGAAGAAATTTTTTTTCTTTAAATACTGAACAATTTATTCTGGAAGATTTTTTTTCCAGATTAGTTATTTCATACCTTACAAAAGTCTAATGCATAATTATATTTCATTTATAAATGAATACATAACATATACATAGGAACCAAAAACAGACAAAGATGAAGAGAACTGTAAGAAAGTGAATGACTTTCTCAACAATCCACCAACTCCTGGATCATCTAGAGGTGGAGGAAGTAGCGGGGGCCTACCTTCTGATTTGTCAAACCTTGGTGAGTTTACCTAACATCAAATTTTTGAAAAAAAAATTATTAATAAATAAATCATTTATTTTAGCTGATGAACTATTTAGTTGCTATATATTTGTTGTTACCATTTCTCATTTGATTTTCTCACATTAACTAATTTAATCTGTACTATTTTTTAAAAATTTATGTTCTTTTAATGTCCAGAAGATATATGACAGCACACTTAGAATGACCAGTAATTCAAATAGTAACTTTAAATTGAGAACATCAATGTGTGTGTTTAAAGACCCTTGGAATATTATGAACAAGAATGCTCTTTGAATCCTTTTCAGGTCTAGACTGAGGAATTTAAAATAAACCAAACATTTGATGTCATATATCATTTTTTAATTTATAAATCATATGATGGCTAACATGTAATATTAATTATTTTTTTTTAAAGCTTAAATCTGAAGTATAATAGAAAGGCCTGTTCTGATTTTGTAATGCATAGGCCAGGGGTGTAAAAAGGCAGGATATTTACCTTTATGAAAAGTCCTATGAAGACACACCTTTAATGCATGAATTAAAATGAGCTTTGCTACATAGGTCAAGAAAGCTCTAATGTAACAAATTGTTCTAAAACATATGCTCAAATAGTTAGGAACCCAATTAATGAGCTCACTTGTAAAATAAGTAAAATCAGAACTGCTCTTCTTTTGTAATTGTGGCTGGCTTGAGCATTTGTTCAGAATTTCACTCAATTAGCTTTAATAAATTATTTCTCTACCTTTATGAAAATTGAAGGTGAACAGGACCTCCAGAGCATTCTTGGAGGAATGAGTCAACAACAGCTGATGCAGCTTCTTGGTAGGTGGTGGTTTATTTTCAGCCTAATTTTCTTATTCATATCAAGTAAAGCTACATGGTACATCATTTTTAAATACATTTCATTGTAATTCATTACACTATTACTATTACGAAGTAAAAGTTAATTTTTTTTCTAAGATCCAATGAGAAAGAACTAGTTTTTCAAATGTTTAGAAAAAAAACAACAAATCAAATATTGTATGTTGCATTTGGCCTTCAATAAAAAAAAAAATTATCATCATTTAGTGTCTTCAATTTAGAGTTTAAATAATTGATAAAGCAGTAAGATGATTTATTTTGGTCTGGACGCCAGTTTGTAACACTATGGTGTGTACCTCTGCTGTTATGAGCTGTCTTTCTTTACAGGAGGCATGGGTATAGGTGGTGGTAGTTCAAGTTCTAATGTTCTGGGCTCTCTGATTGGACGTCCCAGTAGTGCTCAGTCTACTGCATCAGAGCCGTAAGTCCTTAAGAATTACAGTTATTTAATTTTTATTATTGTGCGTTGATTATTTACATTTCAGCTTTCAGGTGCAACATGGCATAACGCTTTTGTTAAAGCACTTTTTAATCCCATGCAAGCCCTGATATTGGTAGTAATCAGGGGGTACTCTGTTTAAAATTTTGAGATATCTAATGTATAATTTTAGCAAAACATTTAGGGAAAAGCTTAAAAATTGCTAAAGAAATATCTTTTAATTTAACTGTTCCTTAGGGTGGTTAAATTAAAACTTGTTTTTCTCTTGTATTTAACAAAAATTCTATTCTAACAATTCTTGTCTTAAAACATTTTCTATTTTATTTGTTGTATTTACAGACCCCTTAGAAGCCAGTCTGCAGCTGGTGCTAGAGGTGCTTCCAGGGATGCTACTCCATCCCAGCCTCGTCCTGTTACTGCTGCGGCCTTACCTTCACAGGAGACTGCGGGTGATGCACCACGTGCTGCTGCAGCACCAGTTGTGAGTGGAAGCAGTGGGGTACCACCAACAGCAGGAGCAAGTGCCCAGATTCAGCTTAGTGATTTGCAGAATATTCTCTCTACTATGAAAGGTTAGGCTTGGACAAAATTAATGCAAATAAATTACTGACCTGCTAAGCTCATTTAAGAAATTGTATGCAACACACCCTCGCATCTCGCACTATTGCTCCAATCCGCTCACAAGTAGACCATTTGAATAGGCATGAATTCTTTAGTTTTAAGAGAGTAACTGCTCTTGTGATTTGTTGAGGCATTGTAAGATTTAATCTAAGCTTATATTATCAATCTCTTTGGTGAACAAGGATGTCTCGTCAATATATCATGCTGCGCTCTTAGAAATAATAGATGATATTAAAGACACCTTCATTTTTTTGGAGTAGAGGAAAGTTACCAAAATCCTTACATTTTATAGTATGTTCTTTTTTGTCATAAAATTTGTTAAAAATCTTTTCCTTTCTATTCCTCAGTCCCAACAGATGGTGCTGGGAAAGAAGGTTGGTCATTGTTTATTCAATTCTAAAAAAAATAAATTTACAAAAAATTTAATTATGATAAAGAAAGTAGCTGCAGGAAATAGTCAGGATTACAAAGGACTACCTTCTGTGGGGGAAAATGTCAGTACTGTCAATTTTTTTATCATATTTTGCTTCTTAAAAAAAGTTGGCGGTCTGTACTGTAATTTTTTTAATCCCCAGGATATTAGGCAGCTGTTCTTATTTCATTTATTTCAATAATTACTTATGTGTCTAATATTTTATTTAAATTAATTTCGAGTTCAATAATTTTGGATTTATTTCATTTAAAAATTCTCTTAACAATAGTTAAAGCACATTTTTCTCTTGATTTTCTGTGCCCTTAATTGATATAATTTAAAAATCCCATTGCTTTCCAGGAGTGGACCTAGCCAAAGCTCTTAGCCCTGAAGCCATGATCCCTATTCTGGCTAATCCCGAGGTTCAGGAGCGGCTCATCCCATATTTACCTGAGGGGGGGTCCCTGCCCAAGACAGAGGAGGAACTGCGCAACACTGTCCAGTCACCTCAGTTTCAGCAGGTAGGTGCATCTTATATGTTCATGGTTATTGTTAGTTTGAGGATACTTTATTTCTCTTAGTAACGTTATTTGATAAATCAAACAAATGGTTTTAAATTTATTTTTGGCTACAAAATTGCATATTTTTGTTGGAACTTTTAGCCAGTGTTTGAAATTAAACTTTATGCTAAGGAATCATTTAAAACTGTATTTTTTTCAGTAAATTTGTATTATAAAATGATGAAATTAGTGTATCAAATGCATTGTGGATTTCATGAACAAAATAGCCCTTAATGAATGTCAGAAATTGCACAGTTTGATGAAAATGATACAACAAACTACATTTGTTTTATAACCTGACATGAAGGACCTAGGCCAAGTGTCCCTCAAACCTTGAATTCGCAACTAATTTTACTCATTACTCAGCTAAATGAATGAACCATAATTTTTTTATCCAGGCTCTGAGTTCTTTCAGCTCAGCTCTCCAGTCAGGTCAGCTGGGCCCTCTGATGTCACAGTTCGGTCTAGGCGAGGATGTAGCTAATGCTGCTGCTCAGGGGGGTAGGTATTTCAAACAACTTTCTTATAGAATTTGTCCATTGACCTGTAGGAGTGAAAATTCATGAGGATAGCTGGGACTTTTTACTCTAATGTGCTTTGTGGATATAAAGTGATTAAACTTATTTTGAACAAATTTAATATGGTTTTCATCATAATTCTTCATCCTTAATGATTTAAAATAGTTCTACAATATTATTTTATTTTATTAACATGATTATTTTGGGGTCTTTTTAAAAAATTTAAAAATAAAAATTTTAAAAAGATTTTATAGTTATTTATTTATTTATTTTTTTTCATTTGACATGATTTAATTCGAGCATTTAGTTAATATTTTAAAGAATGACTTTTGTGGGGAAAAAAATGTTATTTTGAATTTGTTCCAGATATGGAAGCATTTGTCAAAGCCATGCAAGAAGCCACCAAGAAAAAGGAGGGGGACTTGGATGATTCCATGGAGCACTAGCTTCATTCTAGCTCACCGAACAGGCATCAGGAGTGCCACTCTGCTGGTCAGCCTCTCTGCAAGCAGAGTTTGATAGATTGTATGGTGTTGTCCTTGAGAGAGAATGAATCTTTTAGAGCATATTTTAATTCTTACCTTAGAACCAGAGTTGATAGGGCCACATCAGAAAACCTAGAGCCTTCCTATACGATCAATAGCAATCCTCCAAATCCTGTTCAAAGTGTAGACACTCACCAAAACCAGTTTTCCAACTTTCATGAGTTTGTGGAAGTGCTGAAAGGAGACATTGATAGGTCTATGGGGTCTGAGATCTGGGACAGCCCAACAGATGTTAACTCAGATGAAGTTGAGGTGGCTCCTCCTCCTCCCATAGAATGGACGGATGATGGCTTAACTAAGAAACTTGTGTCCAGAAAGTTGCCTCCTAAAATTGATGAGGGTAGTGATGAGAGGTGTGATTCTAATGAAGATGTCAGACAAATGTCTGGAGCTGTGGAATGTATAGACAACCTGAGGACAGATCTGACCAATGTCGTCCATCTGGAACCTGATGGGGACACAAACCAAGATGAGAGGGAAAGGTGCAGCAGCATGGTTGGTTTTGATCACCTGAGTAAAGAAGTTATCGGTAATGAACTTGATTCTAATGTCCCCAGAAGTCCTTCTGAGAACCTGGTAGTCCATCTCTCAGTTGGGGATAGAAACAAACTGGAAAACTGGCATAAATCAGAGCAGGCCCCGACCACTGTCCAAGTAGAAGTGGATGTTTTAACACGTGCCTCACTTAGCTTCCATGTTAAAATTAATGAGCATTATGAGCAAGAAAGCAACAGTAGCCTTTGTGCCATGAAAGGATCAAGTCATCAAGACATCACAAAAGAACAGTTTGCTATTGAGAGTAGTGTAGACGGTGATGAGCATACTGGAATCAAGAAAATGAGTTCTTTTGCACAACTTAAAGTAGTTGTTGGTGACTGCATTCACTCTGATTTATATAATAAGGACATGAACAGTTCTGAAGAAAATTTGACTAAGTTTACTAAAACCAAGGAAATAGCATCTGAGGGCATAGCGCTCACTGTGGAGACAAAGATTGATATGAATTCTGAGACCAACTCAGAGGCTTCTGTTATTGAAATCCAACTAAACACAAAAGACAGTCCCATCAGCTTGGAGAGCACTTATGCCACCAAATCAGGAGAAAAAATTCACAACAATGGTTCTGCCAAAGTCACTAGTCATCCAAATGTGAACCAAAGAGATGGAGGTGACCCACAGGAAGCCCATAAGAACACAAGAGCAGAGCCCATGGTTCAGACGGAGGCATATAACTATGATTCAGATCTGCCAGTAATAAAGATAGATGAAGGCAGCAGTGAATGGGGTGACACAAATGAAGACTTTCGAGACATGAGGGATGATGTCGCCATTCTGGAAGAGATTGACCCACTGATGCGAAACACATATGATACAGACGATGATATAAGTGAGGCAACAGACACCAACAAAGATATCCGAAGTGTACATGAGAAGATGGCTGCGTTTGATCATCTCAGCTATGAGGTCACTGGAGAAAAAGAGTTTTGTGGTCACTTAGAAACTTTAATCCAATCAAAGTCAGCCATATGGGATGGCTCAGATTTAAACCTCCAGGTGCACATGGAAAAAACTGAGGTCAGTCAAGTTGGGCATGTCAAAATTGGTGTGGAAATTACAAGCAGTCGATCTTCGCCTTTGATAGAGGAAATTTACCTTCAATCCCTTAAGGTCATGGATTCCGCTAAAAGATGTGGACATACTTCTGATGGTAAATACACCTGCCCTAAATATGAGTTCATTAATGAAGGGTTTATTGATGATGAGAATCAAGTGGCTGAAACCAATTCCTACCACAGTGGGCATGAGGACAAAACGACTTTAGTCAGTAAAGAAAATAATATGAATGATCAAGTTATGGAAGCCAGAAGTCCTCAGAAATTAGGAGATGTAAGTACAGATGTCTCAGATCACTTAACAGTAATGAAAGGAACACCAAATTTAACCAAGGACACAAACATTGAACTTTTGATCAGTAATAAATTATCTGATCCTTGGTGTAGTTTGAAGAGAGGCACAGAGGGTGTCTTGTTAGTGGAGGAAGTGAGCAGCAATGCTAAACATGTGTACAAAGATGAGCTTTATGTTGATACTGACAATGGAGACATCAGTCTGGAACCTCATGATCTGGGTGACAAGGATGTGAGATTATCTGAAGAATTTATTAATGTGAACAACACAGAGACAACAGCTAGAACCACAATCATTGTGAAAAGTCCAGTATTTGATGATCCTGGTGCTTGGTGCAATGACTCAACACAAGTCGAAGGCGAGACTAACCAATCACAGATACAGCTTGAGCGTAAAATCTCAACAGCAGACATGTCTGTGAAGAACACATTTTCTGGTGGGGAAAGTGGTGGGTCATCTTGCTGGCCAGACAACTCTCACCTCCCCCTAGACTCGAGAGATGAGGTGCAGGGTGGGGAAGAGCCAAAGGATGTATTACATAACAGTTTAAGCTTAACAGGGGATGATTCTCTGGCTGGAGAAGAAACCCAATGCCAGAACTTGTTACACCAGAATGATACCGGCCCTGGTGATGGTCCTAGTGCTGCTTGTGGGGAAGATAATACAGTTCCGGGGTCTCTTACCAAGAAAAAACTTCCACTGACCACTATTGGTCAAACTGAAATGAAGCCACTGGTTTGCGGTAGCAGTAACCGGGGCAAAATGACCTTAGCCTCCAGTCTACATCAGTCCTTTATTTTTGAAGCTGATATTGCAGTTCAGAAAAGGAACAGCTCTGACCTCTGCTTGTCTATTCGTTCAGAGCTCGGGAGAACGTTGAATGAAACAATCTGTGACTACAGAAATCTTTCCAGCACAAGTTCCCAAGCCAGACAATCGTTTCCAACTAGCAGCGACCATGACATCATGCAAGATGTCAGTGTTGATCATGTGACATTTGGCGGTGACCTCCAAGCAGAATACAATGACATGGTGACCTATGCCCTCAACTTTGTAGATATGCTCTTCTGGATTTGTCTTGCTGTAGCCATCTTTATTTTTGAAGTTTTCAAATATTACTGAAATCTTGCACCATTTGCCGGTACTGGGTGCAGTCCCCTTTGAAGTCATTAATGATCTTCTAATTTTATTCAACATGTAATATTCATACAAGAAAATGCCATTTCTGCTTGCAACAACCTGCTGCATAAAAAAAATTCACACAATCTTTATTTCATGAGGTGTGATGAAAAAATATTTCTTTATAAGCAAATTGATTTTTTCCACACTTAGTTTTCAGAATTTGTGTAGTTATAGTAAAGTTAATTTGCCTCCTTGTTAAAACTAATAACCTGCAGAAGTTGAAGCACTAGGTATTCTGTAATATTAATTAATGAGTGAAAGTCTTTGTGAGTAAATGACAGTGTATCTAGTGTTATGCCGATATTCATCATCACAAAAATTATTCTAATAAAGGTTTGAAGAATGTGGCTCTGTATTTTATTGTCTTGTTGTCATTACTATTCTATTATTAACCAATCTCAGTTTGTCACTTGTATTCCCCCATTGTATTGTTAGCTCAATATTGGCTTCATTAAATGTTTTGTTTCAATTGAGCCTTTTTTTTTAATTATTTTTTTTTTGTGTGTTCTAAGTTTTCAAAAAGTGATGTCAAGTGATCAATCAGTTCTCTGTGTTTCATAATCATCACCATTTTAAACTAGTGATTTAGTGGTTAAATTATTTGTTTGCATGTGACATTCAATCAGTACTTTTTAAAAATATATTTTTGAGTGGAGTTCTCTGTTCCTTCTGAAATAAAGAAATAATTAAGCATTGCAATGTTTATTGTGTGTGTACCTAGTTGTTTTTAAGCTATTTTAAGTTTGTTAAATATCAACAATTGAGGTCCAATTATTGGAATATTCTTTTTTTTTAAATAATTTATGTTGTACTGATAAATGTAATACTTTGTGATTTCCTCTGATTTGGAGCATTCAACCTCTATAATCTCCAACACACAATTCAAGTTTTTATTGAAAAATTTGGCAATTTCAGTGAGGAGCATTTAAGAAATAATACAATTACATTATTTCCATCTAATTTTTAAATTAAAATTCCCACAAAAACATTTTCAACATACAAATTTCATTCAATTATAAATATTCCACTTATTTTGTTTTTCTTCTTCTCATATGAGCTGGTTTTTGGTCTTTATTTGGTTCCACATTTCCCTGGCTTTAATCTCTTTAAAAGTTTAGGTATATACACTTGTCTTTCTTTTCCTCTAAATCAGTGTTTCCCAAACCCACTTCTATTATCTGCACCCCTATTATTTCACTAGTCTTATCACCCCCTTAGGGTACCCGGTAGTATTGTTTTACCAAGCCTCGCACCTCCTAGAAAAGTCACTAGCTATAACTTCTATTCTTTTATTTCTACTAGCGATAACTAGATATTGTTTTAATTAAATTTAAGGTAAGGCCAAGTAATTCTTTTGCGGCAGTGACTGCATACTAGTGCTGTTTTGCTGCAAATGCCAGATACTTTAATGATTGGTTTACTATACATCCCATTTACTTACCGTACTACTATAGGTCAGTAATTTAGTTTTTTTAAAACATATTTGGCAGTTTGATTTAAAATGCCATGAGAAGCAGCAAGGATTAATTTCAACACAATACTACAACCAAACTTGCAGACACCATTCATAATAAAAAAAAAAGACCAGATAGAGTTATAATTTTATATCAATAGATTCTAAATTGTACAAAAAAGCAGGCATGTTTAAAATTAATGCCCCCCAAAAAGTCCACAATTTAAAAAAAACTAACACCAGAGCAAATAATTTGGCTTGTGGTACAAAAATAATGATAACACTTATTGCCAGGTGACCTTGCTTGGCACACTTTTGGCTATAAATAGTTGTAAGGATTCAAGATGGGAATCAATTACTTTGGATGTTGAATTTCAATAAATGTATAAGTATAATGGAGAACATGGAATTTAACAGGTGCATGGTCTCAGCCAAATAGTTCTTTACAAATTTTGCAATATCATATTACAGCTTTGTTAGAAAAAATATAACATAATGGTCAACTTGGAAAATTACCGGATTCTGTTGAAATGCACAAAAGTCAAATGGTTTTATTCAAATATTGATTGAAATTACAATAAACTTGCCCAAATGAATATCTATTATTCCGTATTTTAAAACAAGACTTTATGCGGAATGCTTTCCTGACTGCAAGAAAAATTGCAAGAGTCTTGAGGTTTTATTATAATATAGAATAGGTTTGCGATCATAACTTGGCAACAGGTAGCATTTACCCCTAAAGATTTGGTTCACAAGCCTATATATACTATAATACAAATTACGGAAAAAAAAAGTTTTTACCCATACCCTTGTAATTTTACTGTCAGAATTGTTTGTTAAGAAAAGTTTAGTATTTTGATAGGACTAGAACTGAGCTGATGTGCTATGACTATCAAAATATTTGTTAAAAGCTAATAATTATAAAAGTTAAAATCTAAATAACAGAATTACAATTGTAAATTTCGTTCTTTGTTACACATATAATTAGTTTCAAATATTTGTCAAAAGCTAATAATTATAAAAGTTAAAAACTATTGAACAGAATTACAATTGCAAATGTCGCTCTTTGTGACACATATAACTTTAATTAGTTTATGGCATGAGACCCTCTGAACACTTGGTGGTTGGAGCAATGCCCCATATCATTATTTGGATAAAATGTCCAACTCGAGATCTCATTTTTTCTCTCTTTTAATTGGTCAAGTTTTTAAGAAAGAGCAATATTCCATTTTGAACAAGTTTCTGAATGTTAATTATTAAGGCATGATTCATGACAGACAAGGTGTTCTTAAACATAACCAACATATTATCTGCCAGCTTCCCTTTATCACACAATATTTTTGGTCTATGATGTTTATTAGAGGGGTTAAATTTTCCCTTTGATGCAATGTCTATTTCACAACCAAGAGTTAGCGTGTTCAGATTTGTCCATGTTTTTTCCAGCTATGGGCAAATGGACTCATCAGCCAAGTAAGGCAGCGATCCGGGGACGTAGGCCCTGAGCACAAAAAATAAAAAGAAACTCAGCCACCAAAGTGGGAAGACAAAAGCCAACTTTACATAGGATTACTTATTTATTGAGTGTATCTGCTGACCCCGACACACAAATAAAGAGGATGTTATTAAAAAAAATATAAGACATCGTGCCTTGATAACAGATACGAAATATGGACATTAAGTGCATAACATTTGTAACTGTTGTTAAAGATGTTTTCACAACATTGCTTTGGTATGTGATCTGTTCAAAAGTATTTCTCGTCTTTCTGCCAGCAAGCACATAGCTAAAGTCAAAACAAGATAAATATAAATGAATTTGTGTAGTTTAGGGAAATGGATACACTTTCGTTCTGAGAAAATGACAAGAGTTTGAACATTACATCTGTAGAGTAAATATTTAACTATAATTAGTTACACGAATGACTGGCAGGTTGTCAAAATATTAGCTGTACACACAGCTTGGTTCCACATTCATCTCATGGTATTGGGAGATCATAAACATTGTACAGCATTTCAACAGCAATATTTTTAGTCCCCACTAACAATAAGTTTTCATTTAACGAGGTTATACACATCACATTTTAATCTTGTCAAAAATCTATTTATCCTAAAACATGAAGGTTGGTTGTCATAAATGTTATCTTCTGTATTAGTGAAATTTTAACAAGGGAAGACTTATCACACATAGAAAGTTCCACCCAACCAGGAGCTAATGTAAATTATTTTTAAGCTATAGAGAAAATTTTTAATTTTACATTTGGGTTCACATTCAGATTTAATGTAAAAAAATAATAATAATGAAGAACAAGAAATCGATCATGCATCAATATTTTTTCTTAATTTATATTTTATTGGATAAGTAGGTCACTATATGTTTCTATCCAAATTTTTAGAGTATTTTATGTTTCAGAGGTTAATTACTTTCATAAGGGGAAAATATTTTTTTTTTTATGAGTGAATGATAGATTTTGAGAACAGTTGTATAATGTCAAAAGTTATATGTATATTTTTTTTGCAGTTATATACCATAAATTATTTCACATATAATAGTTTGTTAATGCTCTTGTATTTTCTACAAATCCTATGATTGTATGTCCTTTAAATTTATTTTAAAAAATAGTTCTATCTTTACTTGCCACAGATAGACAGACATTTACATGTGATAAAAAATAGTTCAAATTTTCCAGTAGTTAGTTGTGAGCAACCCACAGTGGTAACAGCCAATGATTGAGCACTACTTTAGTTTATTTTCAAGGATTTATTAATCAGAGGCAAGAATATTTGTAATAAGATTACGGTAATGAGTTTAAATGAAATTAATGTTTAGGAATGTTCATAGTGGCAAGAAGCTATAATTTAGTATAAAAACAAATGAAGCACTTGTGTTGATTTATTTGTTCATCGACAGAAATGGAGGCTTAAAATAGGCTAGGACCAGGAAATGGTTTGTGATGGCAATTGAAATGATTGTTAACTTTTTTTTCAAATACTCATTTTTAAAAAAAAAATTTTTTTTAATAAGAACGTATTTATAAAGGAAAGAAAAATATATTTTATTCCTCAAGGGTTATTTAAACGGTTATTTAACCCTATACAGGGCAGAGCGGCCGAAAACGTCTTTAGTACTGAACAAGCAAAACGTCCAAAAGCATCCATAATGACATATAATTGTAACGATCAGGTCACTGTCTAGAAACATTATAATCAGAACCTATAATATATTTGTGATCAAGAGTTAAAAAAATATTCTTAACAGACAACTCAAATGTTTAGATCCACCATACAAAAATATAAATGGTTGTCATAGAGACACTAACTGAGAATTATTGTATAAAAAAAATAATAAATCAGCATTTGAGCTAAAACAATATGGTGATCTTGAAAAGAAACCACTTCAAAAACAATCTTTAGGAATAACAATGCAAATATCATCAATATGTTCTTAAAGGATATTTCAATAAATCACATCATAGAACCAATTTCACTTAGTATTGATAAGTCCCTTTAACAGAAAACACAAGATGAAAACAATGCCTGTAATGAGACCCCAAAATGTGGAGAAAAGGGATATCTTTAATAAAATAATTTTTTTTATATCTCCAATGCTTTCCTTGTATATTAATTTCAAGCTATTTTTATGAATAACTCCTTGCCGATGAGGCTATTTTTCTGCCATGTTGAGTGAACCGTTGTCGTGAAGGATATTAGTTCATTATTTACTACAACATCAAATGGCAATAACCCTAAGACATTCATTCAGTATGGCATCTGCCACATGTGATTATTTTTCCAGCAGCCATTTAAACATAAAAAGTAGGAATAAATTTAAAAAAACAGCATTATCAACCAATTACAAAGCTTATGTTGATTTTGTTTCAAGTAAAATGTATGGGGTTTCCAAACAATGGAAATGACACATTTGAAAAAAAAATGTCAATGAAATGTTGGAAAAACAAAGAAGTTGAGTGTGGTGACTCTTTAGTGTTACAATAATACATGAATGTCAATTAAACAGGAAGTAGTACAAAATAGACAAAATTAAAAAGAAAATTACCATACTGAGTATTTAAAATCAATTACAATGCCTCAAATGTACCTGAAAGGTTGTAAAAAACAAAACAAAAAACAACAATAGCGAGGACAAGTTAAGTTTAATATTTTAACAATATAAATGTAACATTCACATCTTAATAATGTAACAATTTCTGAAGTGTTGGTCATGATAACAAATAACTTAAACATT